CTTTATTTACTTAAAGAAAAATCTAATCGGATTAAAACTGATTAGATTACAACTAACTTTTTTTTGTTGTGAGCTTTTTTTTTTGGCGTACCGCTAGCCTCGCAATTGCTTATCGTGGGTTGAGTTTTTTATATTTATTGTAGCGAATTGTCATTCTGATTCGAATTTTTGACTGGGTCCCCCCCCCCCCTAGTCGCCAATATAAATCGCATTTTGATTCTTGTAAAACATAATCATCAAATTTAGTCAATTTGAGAAATATTAAAGATATTATTTATTAAAAAAATAAAAAATAAAAAAAAATTATTTGAAATAATCTTTGATAGTGTTTTCACGTTCTAGTAAATTCAGGTTTTTTTGAACCTAAATATGCAAGTTTGTCAGTTTGTTTGTTCCTGTAAATGCCACTATGTCCCTTCACATGTTTTAAATAAGTTTTCTCTTCACATTTCTTAATCAAATCATTGAATCTATTAATTAAATCAAAATTAGTTTTTGGTTTTTTAACATCTCTAGAGATGATAACATAATTGCTATTAGTATTTATAATTAAATTTTCTTTTTTATTACAAATTTCAAGAGCTCTAATAGCAGCATAGATTTCTGCACGATTGTTAGTTTGATGTTCACCAGGTAGTCGTTCAGATAGATTTCTAATATCGTTATCTTCAAAAAATACACCTATACCTCCAATAGCATTTGATAATCTATTTCTTTTACAATATCTGTCTGTTCAAACATTTAACTTGTCTTTAATATCAATATTTTGTTGATCGATAAAATTCCGAGCCTCGATCTTTGTATAAAATGATTTATACAAAGCTTCAGGAATACCTTTAACATATTTTTCATATTCTTTAAATGATAAAAAAATTCCAGTTTTTTCTCCTTTAGCAACTGCGTAATATTTCAATGAAGAAACTTTTGGCATCTGGAATTACAACATAAATAATTCAAGTAAATGAATCACAATTATGAAAACCAGTCGACAAACAACCTACGATGAAGTAGCCAAGTTAGTGAAGTGAGAGTTAGTAAAGATTATTACCAAGTAAAGATTATTACAGGTTGTGAGTCTCCCTCACCTTTTAAGCTTTGAAGAGAATTGTTTAGAGAAAAATCTAATCGGTCATTATAAACTGATTAGATTGAATTCTAATTAATTATTTATCTTTACTATAAGGGTAAAAATTTAAATATATAGTATAATATATAGTATAATGCAAAACAAAGAAAAAAAGCTTTAGAAAGTTCGATTAAACATAAAGATAGGTTTGAACCGATCTCGATTTCAAAAACTATTTTTAGTTTCTTAAGTATTTATATTTTAATTTAAAGAATAAATTATGGTTTTTAAAAATATGGTAAAATGAAAGTTTCTTCGTATAATTCTATTAAATTACAAAGATAAGTTTCTGTTCGGTATAAATACTGAACAGAAGAATGAATATAGATATGTTTCTTTAAGAATATTATATTAAATAGTTCTGATTAGAAATTTTAAGTAAGTAACTCTTAAAAAAATATACTCCTATTTTCTATATCTAAATTTAGGCGATAAATTTTATAACATTTCTTACAAATCTTGTGACAATGAAATTTTTCATCTTTTGTTTTACATGTTGATACTTTATAATCATAAAATTTATCTAGAAACCATGTTGTATGAATAATTGTTTTTTCTAAACATCGTTCATATTCTCTTTTAGAATATTGATAATATTCAAAAGTTAGAAATAAAAAATCCAAAAAACTTAATGAATTAAAATGAGCTGTTAGATTTCAAATTTTTTTTTGTTATATTTTAAAAAAATCTTTTCGTCGTAATAAAAATAATATTTAGTTTTTTCAATGGGAGTATAATCTTTATCACGTAGTAAAATATATTTGGTTCCATAATTCTTGAACAATGAAAGATAACAATTATACCAATTTTTACAAACTAATTTGATTGATAGGGTTGTTGATAAATCAGATAAGGTTATTTTTGTTTGAAAAATATAGTATAATGTTAAAATTAGAATTTCATTTAGTAGATTGTTGATATTCATCTTTATTGTTAAATAAAATAAATTTTACTCGGTTTAAACTGAGTAGAGAATAAGCAAATGGTTTAGTAATCTTTTTGAAAGAGAATTCCTGATAAATTCCAATTTTTTCTCTTTTGGCAACAGTATAATATTTTATTTATTTACCTTTACCATAAGGGTAAAAAATTTAAATATATAGTATAATATATAGTATCCCTTAAACTGTAGGCTTTTCCAGGCAAATTTGCCTGGAAAATTATCATAAATATAGTTATCATCTACTTTTTTTAAATTTTAACAGATTTAAATAAATTTTTTTTTGATAATATTTGAAAATAAGGATTATATTATAG